CACTGGGGATGTGGCTTACTGGTTGTGTGCCCCCGAGTTCAATCCCCAGTACCTCTCCCCCTAACAAAAAAAAATTTGAGATGTGAGACTTCACTTTAAAAATATATATTTATTAGATTATGATCAGAATATCATTCTATAAAATAATAGAAAGGCACTCAGAGGCCACTGTAGCCATGACATCAACCACAGAATACTTGTTTTGCTGGTACACAGACTGCAAGACTTAGAGGATCTTGGAGGCTTCCAAGTAAGACTTCAAAGGAAGCTGACATGATGGCACATGCCTATAATCTCAGTGACTTGGAAGGCTGACGTAGGAAGATCAAAAGTTCAAAGCTCACCTCAGCAATGAGGTCCTAAGTAACTTAGTGAGACCCTGTCTCAAAATAAAAAATAAAAAGGGCTGAGGATATAGCTTAGTGGTTGAATGTCCTGGGTTTAATCCACAGTACCCAAAACCAACCAACCAACCAAAAAAAATATATAAATTTCAAAGGAAAACTCAGAAGGCCAGGTAGTGTGTTCAGGGTCAGAGTCTCTGCAAGCAGCCCCTGACAAGTCAGTCAATGTGTGGAGGTCTGAAAGTGAAGCTGAAGCTGCAATGGAGACCCCAAGAAGACAGATACGCCAAAAATGTGGAGCACCTGCCAAGGGAAACAGCAGGCAGTGTGAAAAGCCAGCTGACAGAGGTGGCTTTATGGGCTACAACCAGCAAGGCCATGGAGACTGGGCTCTCCAAACCCCTAGGAAGCCCACATAACACCCAGGGGTTTGGACACAGAGCTGGGATTAAATGTTTGGCCCTGCTGGGTTTGGGTCTTGCTTTGGTCCCATCCATCCTTGGTATCTTCTCATTTTTTCCTTTTGGAATAGGAATGTATTCTCTATTCCTGTGCCACACTGTATCTTAGAAGCATATAACTTTCTTTGGTTTTCACAGGGCCTCAAGATGAGATTGCCTGTGTCTTAGAAGAGACTTTAGACTTGGGCTTTTCAGCAGTGGTGGAACAGTTGAGACTTTGGGAATGAAAAGGATGAATTGTAAGATGGACATGGACCTTTGGGGGACAGAGGCAGGCAGAATGGCCCCAGAATGCCATCTGAATCTAGAATATCCCACAAGGGCTCATGTTAAAGGCTTGGTCCCCAGCTTGGTGCTACCAGGAGGTAGCACCCCAGGAGGGAGTTAATGAGAGGCCTTTATGTCACTGGGGGCATGCCTTTGAAGGGGACTGGGGTACCCTAGGTCCTTCCTCCTATCCTCTTTTGTTTCCCAGTGATGGGTTAGGAGTTTTGATCCATCACAATGTGCTGCCTCAGCCAGCGCCTAAGACAATGGGGCCTACTGACCATGGACTGGAACCTCCCAAACCGTAGGCCAAAACAAGCCTTTTCTCTTTAAAATAAATTAATTAATTAAAGGAGAATTTAGAGATATTTTTAAAGGTTAACTGATTTCTAAAATTTGCTCACCATAATTTAAGTATTCCAATCTCATCTTTAAGTAAACAAACCATAATCTCAAACAACATAATGTTTTATAGAATTGTTTTGGGTTCCTTTTAAGGCAAAGCAACTCCACTTAAATCCTACCCTGTCTCTGTCTCTGTCTCTGCCTGTCTGTCTCTATTATTTTCTCATTCTTTCTTTCTTAACAAATTAATTCTAAAATTCATGTAGAAAAGCAAAGATCCAAGAAATATATCAAGCTAGTCTTAAGACTTTAAAGACAAATGGGAGGGAAATCACCTTCATTTGGTAGTAAGACTGACCACATAACTATAGTAATTTGGATTTGATTTCAATCAAACAGTAGAGAAATGAAACAAAAACCCAGAAAAAAGTACACTGTGACCATGGACTCTGATAGATGATAGTGGCGGTACTTCCACTTACGGGGATGGAATGCCTTTTTAAAAAAAAAAAAAAAATTTTTTAGTTATATATGGATTATTTATTTATTTATTTATTTGCGGTGCTAAGGATCGAACCCAAGGTCTCACATTTGCCACGCAAGCACTCTACCACTAAGCCACAACTGCAGCCCCTGGAATTCCTGTTATTGGTACTAAAATACATGACTTTTCAAGTGGAACAAAAGTAAAAATAGATCCTCACTTGACACCATTCTGTAAAATCAATTCTAGGTTGTTAAATATCCAAATGTGAAAGCCAAAAAATTCAAAACTGTAGTGTACAGGAGAAATCTTTATGACCTTAAGAAAATGATTTTCCTAAAATTGTCAAAGCACAAATGAAGGTTGATAAATTTGATTATATAAAATGCTCAAGAATAAAAAATGCTACAGTACTTAGGGGAAAAAATTAATCAGATAAGTACAAGCCAGATATGGTGCTATACACCTTAATCCCAGCTATTCCAGATGCTTCAGCAGGAGGCTACTAAGTTCAAGGCCAGCCTGGGCAACTTAGTAAGACCCTATTTCAAAATAAAATTGAAAAAGGGGTGGGGATATAGCTTAATGGATTCAATCCCTTATCTGTGTGTGTGTGTCTCTCTCTCTGTCTCTCAGACACACACACAAACACACACACAGAGTGCAAGACTTCTCAGTACAAACTACAAAACACTATTGAAAGAAATTAAAGAAGATATAAATAAATGAAAAGATTTTTTATATTCATGGATTAGAAAGCCTTAATAATGGAAAGACTCCCCAACTGACCTACAGATTCAATACAAAAATCCAAGCTGATTTTTTTGGTGACATTGACAAACTAATCCTAAATTCATATGGAAAGATGAGAGACTCAGAAGAGAGAAAATCTTGAAAAGAAAAAAGTGGAGAACAAATTTCTCAACCACAAAATTTACTATAAGACCACAGTAATCAAAATAATGTGGTACTAGCAAAGACAGACATATACAGCAACAGAATAGAATTTTGAGTCTAGAAATAAAATTTATAATTATGTTTTTTTTTTTACATTTATAATTATTTTTGACAAGATATCCAAGATAACTCAAGGGAGAAAGAATAGTCTTTTTAAAAAGTGATATAGGAATAACTGGATATCCATGTGCAAAAGAACTAATTTGGACCTACTACCTCAAAAAAACTGTGCAAAGGGTGCAGTTCAGTGGTTGAATGCTTGCTTAGCATGTGTGAGGCCCTGGGCTCAATCCCAAATAACATACACACACAAAATAACAACAACAATTTAAACTTCTGACCTTCAAAAAACAACATCAAGAAAGTAAAAAGAGCAGGATATGGTGGCTCACGCCTATAATCCCAGCACCTGTGAAGGCTGAGGCAGGAGGATTGCGAGTTCAAAGCCAGCCTCAGCAAAAGCAAGGCACTAAGCAACTCAGTGAGACCCTGTCTCTAAATAAAATTCAAAATAGGGCTGGGGATGTGGCTTAGTGGTCAAGTGCCCCTGAATTAAATCCCCAGTACAAAAAAAGAAAAGAAAAAAAAAATAGCCTATGGAATAGTAGACAAGTTTTGCAAATCATCTAGCAGATAAGACTTAATATCTACAACATACAAAGTACTCTTTCTTTATAAAGTTGGGGGTGCTTGCAGAGACTGACCCTGCAACACCTAGCCTTCTGAGTTTTTCTTTGAAATAATTTTTTTGGTTGTTTGGTTGGTTTTTGGTACTGTGGATTGAACCTAGGGCACTCAACCACTGAGCTATATACCCCGCCCTTTATACTTTATATATAATATAAAGAAGTAGTCCCAAACCACCCTGTCTAAAATGCTCTCTTTCCCCAATTCTTTTTTTTTTCCCCCTTTTTGTAGCACTTAAAACTGCCTGGTGTTGGAGCTGTAGCTGTAGCTTAGTGGTCAAGCGCTTGCCTCGCATGTATGAAGCACTGGGTTTGATCCTCAGCACCACCTAAAGATACTGTATGTTCATCTACAACTAAATAAATACTTTTTTTAAAAACTGCCTGGTTGGGGCTGGGGATGTGGCTCAAGCGGTAGCACGCTCGTCTGGCATGTGTGCGGCCCGGGTTCGATCCTCAGCACCACATACAAACAAAGATGTTGTGTCCGCCAAAAACTTAAAATAAATAAATATTATTTAAAAAAAAAAAACTGCCTGGTATGATATAGTATATCTATTTGCTTTTTACTGTCTGCCTCTCTCACTGGAACATGGATGCTGTATCCTCTAGTGCTCAGATCATGCCTAGCTCGTACTAAGGTTTCAATAAGTATTACTAGATCTATGATAACTTGAGTGTTTTTGTAAATGGGAGAAAAAAAATCTGAGTTAGTCAGCTTTTCATCACTGTGACCAAAATACCTCACAAGAATTTAAAGGAGGAAAAGTTTATTTTGGGCTCATGGCTTCAGAGGTTCAGTTTACTTACTGTTGGCCAACTTCATTGCTCGAAAGCTGTCAGCTCATAGCAGCCAGGAAGCAGAGAGCAAGAGAGAAGCCAGTTACAAGATAGTCAAGATCACACCCCCAGTGACTTACTTCCTCTAGCCATGCCCCACCTGCCTACAGTTACCATCCAGTAGTCCATTCAAATAGATTAATCCACTGATGAGGTTTCAGCTCTCATAATCCAATCATTTCATCTCTGAACATTCCTGCATGGCCTAACACATGAAATTTTTTTTTTTTTGGGGGGGGGGGTACTAGGGATTGAACTCAGAAGCACTCAATGACTGAGCCACATCTTGAGCCCCGTACTGTACTTTATTTAGAGACAGGGTCTCACTGAATTGCTTAGCGCCTTGCTTTTGTCTGATTCTGGCTTTGAACTTGCAATCCTCCTGCCTCAGTCTCCCCAGCCATTGGGATTACATGCATGTGCCACTGTGCCCAGCACATATGAACTTTTGGAGAGACACCTCACATCCTAACCATAACAACCTCTAAAGCAATAAGCTAATTGTTGATTTTTTTTTGGTATGAAAGTCACATTTCAATATTGGGTGTTACCTATTGTACCTTGAGTCTATTTTCTTAGAATATACAATTGTGAAAAAACCTTCTTAAGGTTTGCACAAAATATGGAACACTTCACAAATTTGCGTGTCATCCTTTGGGCAGGGGCCATGCCAATCTTCTCTGTATTGTTCCAATTTTAGTACACATGCTGCCAAAGTGACCAGAGTTCTTTTTGTTTGTTTTTTGTTTTGGTACTGGGGATTGAACTTAAGGGTACTTAACACTGATCCAAATCCCCAGCCCCCACCCCCGTTTTTTTTTTTTGAGACAAGGTCTCACTAAGTTGTTTAGGGAATTTGCTGAAGCTGGCCTTGAACTTGCAATCCTCCTGCTGCAGCCTCCCAAGCCATTGGGATTATATGTATGTACCACCACGTCCAGCTAACTGTTGAGTTTTGATGAAGCTAAGTGTTCAGTGTGGGTATGTGTGTGTGTGTGTGTATGTATAATATATGCATATATGTTTATATTTAACTTTTAAATTAATTATAGCATGATATTTCATATGAACTTGCTGACTGACAAAAACTAGCTCCCTAAAATGTTACAGAAATGTACAGGAAATGGACAGTGGTGGTATATATGCCGTTAAAGAAACTGTTTAGTGCTTCGTGTTTATTGTTTAGTGTTTCAGGTTTTCAGGTGGTTAAACAATAATAGGGGATGTCTAAATTTCCTTATTAGTGACAGCTTGTGAAAGGGTACAAAGAGGCCATTGAAGGTTTTGACAGTCTGGAAATGGTACAAATGCACCCCGGTACACCCCGTCACCTCCACAGTAGCTCTTTTTAATGAGTAGCAAGGCCAGGAATGACTTCTGCAGCCTCACTCCCCACTGTCTTACCAAGGGTTTAATCTGTGAAACCCAGGCAAGTGTGGCAAAGGAAAGGAAACCTACTGGCATGGACTTGTAGCCACCTCTCTTTTCTCACATTAATTTAAAAAGCCAAGAAGCAGGGCTGAGAAACCAGGCTGTGATGACTGGTTAGACTAATAATCCACCTGCTGGAGATCTGTGGATTGCATGCAGGGTAATATTCTGATTGCTTCCCTTGTTAAGTTTGGCTTTTATATAAGCAAAGAAGCAGGTTATTTCCAGCACAGCTAAATTAGTTGGTGTTAAACCTCATTTCCTAAAAACAGACATTTTCTTAGCAGAAAACAATTTCTCAAGCAGAGAAAACTTATACAATCATTTATCTCAATACAAGTGTAGCTAATAATATGAATAGCAAAAACACCTCATTTTGACTAGCAAAATAAGCTGAGAGATGAGTGGAAAGTACAATTCCAATAGTAAGCTACTCATGATTTAAAACAACCAGATTAACCCGCTAAGTCCCAAGATTTCAATTCTGTAAACATGATAAATATTCAAACATTATTTTAAAATTACTTGAAGTAGCACATTTGTTGCTCTATTTAATTTTTTTTTGTAGTTGTAGATTGACAGAATGACCTTATTTTATTTGTTTATTTTTATGTGGTGCTAAGGATTGAACCCAGTGCCTCACATATGCTAGGCAAAATGGGTTAAGCTAAAGTACCTTTAAAATAATTAGAGGAAAATCTGATCCACAGGAAATTTCAGGAATATGCCTAAAAAATATCAATAAATAAAAAAAAATGTAAAGAACCACATTCTAGTCCTAACTTTGATATTTAAATCTCTCTCTCTTTTTTTCAGTGGTATTGGGGATTGAGCCTATGCACGCTGTACTACTGAACTCCATCGGCAGGCCTTCTTATTCTGAGACAGTGTCTTGCTAAGTTGCCCAGACAAGCCTCGAACTTGTAGTCCCTCTGCTTCAGCCTCCCAGGTAGCTAGGATTAAAGGCGTGCACTACTGTGCCTGGCAACTTATTCTTTTATCTCAAAATCACATTAATATTTAAGGATAATCTCTTATTTGTATCATCAAATACTGAGTACAGTTCTTGAAATATAGATAGAAATTAAATATTTGTAGGACAAGTAAAAATTAAATGAAGTAACTATGACAATTTTGAGTTTCTTGGTGGAATAGGGCCAAGTTCCTAGAAGCTTTGACATCGGAAAATTATTTTTGCAGTTTTGAAAATGTTAAAAAAATTATATATGAGGAATCTTCATGCCTGGGAATCTAAATTAAAGGAAGAGAAGATCAAGTTGTGAGAGAGTTCCCAAGTCTAGGAGTGCTAAAGTCACGAGGTGAACCTACAGAATACTATGCCCGGTGCCTCTGTCTTCTATCCTTCCATTCTAGTTCCTCCTTCTTGGGAAAGCCAAAGTTTTTGACTAATTGCTAGATAATGTCTGTAAAAGACCTTCAGAGGCTAAAGTCAAGGTTACTTTCACCTTTAGCGGAGACAGATATGGCAAGGGGCTGAGCACCTCTATCTGAACTGCTGGGTCTGGCTGGTCTGAAAGTTAAGGGTAGTATCTATTGTGATTTCTTACAGGTGTTACCTGCTAAACACTGTAAGATTGTGTTGACTTCAAGTGCCCTTTCAGGTCAAGACCTCCAGGCTGTCCAGCACTTAGTGAATGTCCTATGCAGAAAACTGGCCACATATTTGGGTTTCTTCAAGAATTCATTGTGTTGTGCCAGCCCATACAGTTGTCATAAGCTCTGCTGGGTTTTCTCTCTTGGTAGAGTCCTGCCTAGAACAAGCCTCACGTTCATCAGCCCATGCTCAAACTCTGCAAGTACCACAGTGAGAGACAGTGGCTGGCAATGTCAGCTCCCCTATAAAAGGCTCCTTCCTCTCTGAAATTTTAGTTCATTACTGCTCATTGCTTTGCACTGAAGACAGCTTTTTAATGTCTTCAAAACTATTCCTTATTTTGAAAAACTGTTATAATTTTATCTAATTATTACTGTGAAAGTGATAGCTTGTCTCTCTCTATTAAATGACATGGAAGCAGAAAACTCAGGATCATTTTTTTGTTTTCTTTTCATTGCTACAAATGTGATATAAAAAAATATCAGTTGTTCAGATAAAATAGAAACAATTTCTTTTTTTCTTTTTCTTTCTTTTTTTTTTTTTTTTTGGTACCAGTGTGCTTAACCACTAAGCCACAACCCCACCCCCTTTTTTGAGACAGGGTCTTGCTAAGTTGTTAGGGCCTTGCTAGTTGCTGAGGCTGGCCTTGAACTTGCAATCCTTCTGTCCAGCCTCCCGAGTCCCTAGGATCACAGGTGTGTATCACTACACCTGACAGAAACTATCTCTTTTTGATGTAAGAATGAAGGTAGATGAACAGTTCTGAGTGGATGGGTATCAGGGATCTCGGAGTTGTCTTTGTTGTTCTGTCCTCTTTTAAGGTGTCTTCATTGGCATCTGCACCAGCAACCACATCTACATTCTATTCCCCAAGAAGAAAGAAAGAGAAATAAAGGGGAAACCTCTTCTGTTTTAAAGGCTATAATGTAGCAGTGGTCCACAATCTCTCTGTTCACTTTCTACTGACCAGAATTTCATAACATGGCTATTCCTGCCTGTAAAACAGACTGGGAAATATAGATTGCAGCTCAGTGTCCATGCGCTACCTAAAACTCGGAGACTCAACTACTAAAGAAAAGAGAGGCAGACTGTATACTGGGGGCCAGTTAGCAGTCTCTGCCGTATATGTTACGAAAAATAACTCTAACTAGATTTTTCCCTTAAATTGTCAAATTTTCCTGGAACTTTGTATTAAAGAATCTATTGTTGGGGCTGGGGGTGTGGCTCAAGAGGTAGCGCGCTCGCCTGGCATGCAAGCGGCGCTGGGTTCAATCCTCAGCACCAAATACAAATAAAGATGTTGTGTCCGCCGAAAACTAAAAAAAATAAATATTAAAAAAAAGAATCTATTGTTCTGTTTACTTTGTGATTTTCTTTATCATAAAAGAGCCTCCAAAGTCAGCATAAAAATATTTAATTTGTATTTTTTATTTTATTTTTTTACAGGTGGGGGTTTCTATCTTCATATGTATTAACAAGAACTCAGCAAATGGCCAATTATAGCAGGCAATCAAGATCTGATGCCCCTCACTGGTTACAGCCTAGAACCTACATATATGCCTATAACCCAACCAACTTAGGAGGCTGAGATAGGAGAATCACATGTACAAGGCCAGCCTGGGCAACTTAGTGAGACTCTATCTCAAAATAAAAAGGGCTAAGGATGTAACTCATGGTCAAGTGCTTGCCTAGCATGCCTACCCCACATAAACATGTGTGTGTGTACACACGCACATATACACACACACACACTCACACAGTCTGATGTCCCTCAATATAGAAAAATACTTATTTATAATTTTGAACCAGGTCATCCTCATCCTAGATAATAAACAACATTCCAAATGAACAAAATTGACAAAGTTGGAAAACATCTTTAAAAAATGTCTTGAAGCATAGTTTAGAGGTTATGCTAACCTGATAAAAATCCAAAAACAATATATAAAGTTTTTACAAAGATACATGAAGCAGGCTGAAGCAGTGGCTCAGCAGTAGCACACTTGCCTGGCATGTGTGAGGCACTGAGTTCAGTTCTTGGCACCACATATAAATAAATAAAGGTCTATCAGCAACTAAAAAAAAAAAAATTTTAAAAGATACTATGGACATTTAATGGAGCAAAAATGGTCTTTTTAACAAACAGAACTTAAACATTTATATGGGGGGAAAATTAACCTCAACACACTTCATACCTGATTTAAAAAATTAACACAAATAAATTCTAGGTCTATATGTAAAACACAAAATATAAAACTTTTAGAAGAAACATGGAGATAATTTTTGTGGTCTTGAGTTAGGCAAGGTTTTTTTTTTTAGATATAACACCAAAAGCCATTTGTAAAACAGAAATTCTAAGAATTTCTAAGAATAGCACCTGTATCTGTTAACATATTCAGTTGAGAGTAACTGAAACAAACTCTAGCAAAACTAAGCAAAAGTTGATTTATTGAAAGGATGACGCGTACACAAAAGAAGAAGGTGGGGAAGAATCAATGAACAAAAGTGTCTCAGAAAGGGACTGGGTTGGGGCTCTGTGGTAGAGCACGTGCCTAGCATGTGTGAGGCACTGAGTTCGATTCTAAGCACCACATACAAATAAATAAAATAAAGGTCCATTGACCAAAAAAAAGTGTTTCAGAAAGGTAGAAACTAGCAAGCTCTCAGGCCTCAACAG